GGGGAGGGGGCGAGGGAAGGACAGAACCTAGGGGGGTTGGATTGAAATCTTCAAGAGGAGATTTGCTCCTTGCTCGCACTGTAAAGCATGCAAATGTGACATATATATAGGAGTCTGGGAGTCGCTCTTCGTCTCCCAAAATACTCCTCAAGAAGTAATTTCAAGGCAGTATGTATGATCCCCCGCGGTTTTGAGTTTGACCAAAGAGAGTCTCAGCTGTTTGTTGGATATTTATTTATATCACTAATTATTAGGTTATGGACTAAGAGAGAGAGGGGGGGATAAGAAGAATATTAATATGAATACAAAAAAATGAGTATATATATACTCAATTACATATAAAGTTTTAATTTTGTTGATCAGAATTCTGTTGCCGACAGGAAATCTTGGAGAAAATGGCTTCGGACCTATGAAAGGCTGAAAGCATATGCAGAAGTAGCAACACCTGGAAGCTGGGACGTATATAGTGGACTGCATCCTGGTTCCTAGCTAATTCTTTCCATGATTCCATCTGCAACCAAACCACTTAATTGTTTCCGTCTCTACCATTGTTTGTTGTTTTACTGTTTAGGTTGGAGAGGTAATGAGTTTCCTCCAACATTCCTAAACAGAGAAGAAAGATTTTTTTCCCCTGTGGGCCTCTCAGGAGCTCTAAATTTTCACCTAATTATTGTGTTTCTTAATCCCCTCCAACCGACCGTTGGATTTTAAATGAAAAAGACCAGACCACCTCATGATATCGGGCCTCTCTGTAACAAGTAAAACCAAGAAAAAGTCAGCGCAATCTGTTAAAGACAAAAGCGCCGGGGCCTATATACTCAGTTTGTGTTCTAGATTTACAGCAAACATAAATTATTAATTGAAACAAAAACCATCCACTAATCCAAGGATAAGCAATATATTCTCTTAATTTAATTAGATATCTAGCAGTGTTGTTAAGCTGAAAATTAATATGAATCGAAATTTTGACGTAGAAGAGAAATTGAACAGGGGAAAAGTCTTATTCTGCTAATTATGCTCTTATCGTTCCACCGGCCCCCGCCGCTTGTTTTAAGGCTCATTGGTTTCCCTATACGTTATTGGCCCACTCGCCCCCCCCCATAGTATCTTGTGTTTGCTACTATATATGAGGCTAATTGGGTTGTCTCTGTTGCGTTCAAATTCTTATTTCTTATACAAATTCTTTTTTGGGTAGACTTGTGGAAATACTGGTTAGTTTCAAGGTTATTTTGTTTTGGTTCAAAATGGATATATTCATTAATGCAGGCGAGGGAGGACTTTATGTAATAGGTTGAGGTAGGTCAGATGAAGATTGTGATTCTCTTAATTTTAGCTATGTTTGGTTTGATATACGAAAATGTACGAGGGAAGAAATTTGTTAAAAAACTTCTTCTCAACTTCCTGTTTTCTATCAAACCAAACATAGCTTCCGGGGCAGTGGGACTGTGGGAGGGAAAGGGAGTCGGATTGGGAAGTGGGAAGTTGGATCAAGTCATTTTATCGTTAACGTCTCGCGAGAAAAATTAAAAACAACAAATGAGAATGGATCAATGGATGTTTCTTCCAGGCATTTCGCGGAACGGTGATATCAGGCTTATCAGCACCCAATCACACACGATCACATCAATTGCGACATCACTTAATTAATACGGGGGACCACCATAAAACCCTAGGTTCCCCCTATATTAGCGTCTCTGACTGCGTTCTTTGTAAGGACCAACGACCAAGGCACCAATCTCTCTCTTTTTCTTTTTCTGACCTTCCAATTTTCAATCAAGTTGGCATGTTAAAAAAAAAAAGGGAATTTGCTGGGGGGTGCAATGTTAGTTTCAGAAATGTCAAAAGAGCTCAGCAAGGAGGGGGCTAAGACCCATTACTGTTTATATGGAGACCCATGTTGGTTTTGTCATTATAAACCTATCATCTTCGTTCATTCACTCGTATCATTTGAATGTTGAACATACGAATGGCAACGGGGCGGGGCACTCCCTTCCCGTCCCAGCCGCGAAGTCAAACTACCTTGTTCTGTACCCGCCCTGTCCCCGGTGGTGGGGCGGGTTCGGGGTAGGGCATCCATTCTTTATCGGAGATAAACAATTTCTGAAATTTTTCGTTCTAAAGCAATTACTTAAAAATTATTTATTTTATGGACAATTTATATATAGAATATAGGAATTTGGAGGTATTTTAGAATTGAATTATAATATTTTAAAAGTAATTCAAAAATAAATTATAAGATTTTAAAAATTTTAAAAATTAAAAAAAAAAACTAAAATATTTTAAATATCAATATTAAACCTAGATATATTTTATTAATTTACTTTCAAGTTTGGGACAGATTCGAAGAATTATATACAAAATCTACCCCCCACCCCGTATCCATTTAAAGAAAAAATTATTTTTTCTATCCCCACCCCATCCTTATTTAGGGTCGGGGAAAACTCACCCTCTTCAAGACGGGGCGAACCCCGATTTTACGAGAAGAAATTGCCATTCCTAATTGAACATCCCAATATTTGCATGCCAGCAAATTTATTGGTGGGCTCCACCAGTACACACTACGCCTACGGCCTATCCACTCGGTTATTTGCAATTATATATTTATATGTATGATCAGTATTACCATACATACGATGATAAAAGGACACCCCACATGTCACTGATATGAGAGGATGAGAGGTGTTTTTATCTCTGCTGAATATGCTGACGCCAAGGAGTAGACAATTCTAGCCGTACGATCAGAGTACTCTGGAGTATTGTACTGAATCTGAATGTTCGGTCCACAGGCTCCATCTTCGAAAGACTTAAATCATGCAATAATTTATTAATTTTATCTGGTAATTGGAACATGATACACCCGATGCAGAATTGTGAATTTCAGCCCTCTCTACTACTAACCCTTTCCCCTATCAATTCACGGTCAGATGCATTCTCCCTGTATTATAGAATTATAAAATTCTGATATGCGCTGATTGGTCATTCTCCCTTTACCCAAACGTTCAAGGTTAGTCAGCCCAAACAGAGCCCAGTGGTCAGGAACCAAATCCTTATACACACGGAATGTATGCACAATGATTGTAGGACCCTACCACACCATCTATGGTGGGCCAAATTGCATCTTTTACTTGGCTTACAGGATTCCTGAACCGGAAACCTGGGCCTTTGGTATTTTATCTTTGTCGTAATTAAATTGATGTAACTTCAAATTGACTTTGGGGAACATAATATCAAACTAGTGATGAATCCTAAAATTATATTTTATTAGTACATCTGTAGATGATATCGATTGTACCCATGTCCCAATTTAGAAACAAAAATCGGTCGCAGTACGTAGTAATAGTAAAACCCCCTCAAGCCTCCCAACATCTGAATTCTGTACGAAATATACGTGTTTCGTCGTCTTTGATGGATGGATCATCAAATTGTTTCATGAACAGGTTGATCCATCAGTCCGATCATATGAATATGATGGAACACAACTTGGATTCATGGGTGCATGCATGCATCGACATTGAGGAGGACATGACAACTGATACATTAGTTTTTTTATTATTGCTAGAATTTTTTTCCCCTCAACGTAGCAAGGTAGCTAGCTAGAATATCGATGCTTAATTATCTCCGGCCCTCGGCCTTTTAGAGAGCAGAACACGCATTAACACACCATTAACTGTTTTAGATGACTAATTTATATGCCCTTTCTTGGATTTTTATTAGAATGGCGATTGACGAGTGATTTTTATCTTTTATACTGAAATTTTTGCATGGTAAGACTTTAAATATATATACATGGTCATTTGGACGTGATGAAGCTAATTAAGTTAGGTATTAGCATTATATAAATTAGTGTATGAATACATGTATACAGTAAGTATTAATTATATATGGTATATGTTATTTGAATTTAACTTTAATGACCTACATAAAACTTAAGACAAATATGTATTGATAATAAAATATATAATTAGATGACGAGAGATGGACTCCTAGTGTCCCGACGTACGTAGTTCACTTTGGAATCGGATCATAGTTGTAGACTTTCGGGACCATGATGGTAGATCCAGTCCGTGGTGACAAATAATGTGGTGCATATTAGTTCATGCATCTAGCACTTGAGAAGAGACCTGACATAAGAGACTGATAACTTCCCTTCTTCAATAGCGTAGGCCCCCCTACAAAGAGTCGTCGTCGTCATGTTCTCTCTTTCTTAGTGCCTTCAAGAGTCTGTTTTCTTCCTCTAACTCCTGTCAGAGAAAGTTCATTAGCCCTCTCAAAGACAATATTAATCTCAGAAGGAACTACAAATCCCAAGATGACTTAGATGTCAACGAAAACTACAGATACCAACTGTGGAAGTGGTATTAAAACACACGCCGACGTACAAACCGGAGCCGAGACTTTTGTTTCTTTTTATGTTTAATCGCCGATGGAGTTTTTCATCAATATTGACTTCAATCAAGTTTCAGCTGGGTAACAAAGTCGTCGTGTAAGGAATTGATGTACTACGACTTGACGAGAGAAAGGGTTTTGAATTATATTCTTGGAGTTTTAGGTCAGGTTATTAACAAGTTGGTTGTTCACCCTCACAAAATTAAAGCTTCTTCGATCAGCCAGCGTTTGGAGGTGATCGGAAAGGTCAAAACTCGACAAGTGTCTATCTAGTTTCATATATATAGTTTGAACACTAAATAAATTACAAGGTTGGACGACAGGGCCAACAACTTTGGTGTTTTGTTTTCATATTTGGTTGGAAGGTTTATGCATTTTCGAGGAGGAGCATTTGGTGTCTGTGGTTGCAAAATTATTCGGAATTTAATTTGGATTTGGGTTATCAAATATTGTATGTTATGTTGTTTATATAT